ATTAGGATGAACCATTATATAATCTTACTAATTAGGATGAACAATTATATAATGCCACATGCTTTATCAGATAAAGTCACTCCACGTGACATATTATGCATGGCTCATGGCTAACATGATTTGCCACATGGTGTATGAATTATTAATGAGTATTTTAATTCTATATAAACGTTGATAGTACACTCGGGCAGAAAATATAATATAGCCAGCCAGCCAGATTTATAATAAGCAATAATAAGCAACTTTTTGCTAATTTAATTGGATAGTCTATTTATTTCACAGTTAAAATAAAGTTATTTCATTTTTCCAATCAATATTACTGGTGAGACCAGTAATGCTAATTATATTCATGGTGGTATTCCGACTAATTATACTACAGTAATTGCATTTTGTTCTCCTAATCATGGCGAAACCTTACTTTTATAATTTCAAATAAGATGCTAAAAATAGTGTTTCAGAAATCCAAGAATCGAGAATTTTCTGCCATTCATAACATAAACTTTTTCCAGCCTGAAGAACCCCGTGTTAAAATTTTACGACTAGACTAATTTTTATGATAGAACCATCGTCTGAGAAATATTTGATAGAACCATCGTCAGAAGTATAGTAGAATAGTTAACTTATTGCAATTTTCAAAAATGTTTCAAATGAGTGTTACAGACTTAATTGTTTCTGTGTATGATTGCTCAATATAGATGTGGATGAATGTGCCCGAGGATTGGACAACTGTGGTAGTAATTCGCAATGTATTAACACTGATGGGAGTTTTGTCTGCAGATGTAACTATGGTTATACCGGAAATGGAGTATATTGTTATGGTGAGTACTGTAGTTCCTTGGCATATTCTTAGACTGTAATTCGTTTATACAAGTTTTCCTTTTTTTATTTTCTATATTATCAAAGTAACGGTTTGATCTAATTGATGATTTTTCCTATTTTTAAACTGTTGGGAAAAATTGTGATCTGCCATTCGCTTACTACTATACTGAAAAAGTCATTCGTGAATTTTTTTATCCTTAGACATCAATGAATGTTCCCTGTCGATTGACAATTGTCATTCCAACGCTTCTTGCAGCAACATTGGTGGATCATTTTTCTGCACTTGTGAGAGTGGATATACTGGAAATGGAACTTTTTGCCAAGGTAAATAGCCAATGGCCATATTTAACGTCAATTCGACCGAAATCATCGAGTAAAAAAGAAACGTTGACAACATAAATGATACTGCAAGGCAATGAAAGTATATTAATTATGTTTGTAACAATTTAATGCAATTTATTTGTCATAAATCTTTAGAAATAGATGAATGTTCTCTTTCTGTTGACGACTGCCACCCAAATTCAAACTGCACCAATATTGATGGATCCTTTCTGTGCATTTGTGATGAAGAATTTTCAGGAAACGAAACTCTTTGCCAAGGTAAACATAAAAGGTCATCATGGCACCTAAGAAAAACAAAATTTTAGTCGCGTTTCTTGAAAATCGTAATACACACATACATATAAAAAATATTTAAAGGACATTGACAACCAAAATTTCTGTTAGGCCTACTTATCTATTAGGTATACTTACGGAATATTTAATTTCATATTTTTGTCGATTTCTCGCGTTTAGTTGTTGAGAAAATTTAATAAAAAGTTCAACAGTTGTACGCCATTTTGAAAATAAACTGTGTATGCTAATTTATGCCACAACATACATTATCTGACGACATTAGATGGATAAACATAATTTCATGACTATAAACAATACCGAGTATTACCACGTGTAGTGTACTTTGAGCCAAAACACCTACTCCGTGTTAAATAATCGCAGAAATTCGAGTGTAACAAGGCAAATACTAATGCAATATTTTATGATCAATTGTACATGTATTGTAAATTGCGCCATTCCTTGCTTTCCCAGTCGCTCGATATGTTTTTATCTGATAGTGTAGACTTGTTTGATTGCGAAGAGTGTTGGCCAGTATAACGCTAAAACACGACATATTTTTAGCTAACATAACACGCACGCAATATAATTCTCTCTTGTAGTTTTGGTACTACCCATCTAATTACGTCACAAAGTTCGAGATAATTTTTCAAAAATATTTTCCAAGATGGTGGCGAAACACAAAGTTTGCATACATTTTTCTCGTAAACAAAAATGTTCGAGAAGGAAATGATAATATTTTTATAGTTAGGTCGTCAGGTAGGATTGAAATAGCCAAAAAAAAATTTTCGTTGCGATTGTTCTTTAAACACGTTAGACCTAATCTTGTATTGCTATTCCCCACTATCTTATAATTAAATAATACTTGGTGTACATCAGTACAAATAGTCACTGAAATTGTTGAAAGCGTTTCTATATTTCGACAACAAAGTGCTTCAAAATTTAGTTCTATAAAGACCCGTGAAAATGTCCAGTGCAAACTGCAAGCCCTAACCAGTTTCAGAAAATGTAACGATAGGATTTTTTGAAGCAGAAATCGATCTGTAGCCTGTCATTGCGGTTTAAGTTGCGCATCGTAATGGGATAGGTAATAGTAATCCGAAAATAATTAAAATCCCAATTCAATTCATCCGATCTGAAAGACTTTAATCCGAATCCATTTGGATCCAATCGGATCCAATCTTAGAGCAAGAAGTGATGCTGGCTTGATCCGGTCCGACAAAATGTTTTACACAGATTTGATATTTTGATTTCAATTGATCTTTTTATTTCCTATTGGCTCTTTTTACGACGCAGCACAGGATCGCATTCTGATTATAACACCGCAGAAAACGTCAGCGCATGCGTCAACCATACTAAAAATTGCCATGCGAACGCGGTGTCAAATGTTCCGAAGTTAGTCAAAAGCTCAAGATGGAAGCGATAAGGATGGACTTCTATGTTTTTCTGTGAAAATGCATGCAATCGAAATAATAAATGTGACAACCTATACTAAAACTAGAAATAATTACTGTCTACATGTTCAAAATATAGTATCATGCAAGAGAATAAACCAATAGTAATTGGGCATAAATGTATTGCATAATTTCTTTATCTTTAATCGACGTCACTGAAATAATTTATCCAAGTCCATATTTGACCACTGGGATTCAATATTTTGCCCGGGTAAAAGAAGACAGATCTTTTTCATTTGACCCTATTTACTAAGGCCCTAATTAAATAGTTGAAAATATAATGAAGTGCTGCATGCGGTCTACTAAATTCCTTTCATTTTCGTCGTATGCTCAAATATTTATTCTAATTGTCATAGAAAAATCTATAGCCGTCCGGTTACGAGGACCATCAAGTTCTAATGGTACTGGTCGTGTGGAGGTATTCTACAATGAACGATGGGGAACAATCTGTCATGATTATTGGGATATAAATGATGCTAAGGTTGTATGTCGTCAACTTGGTTATCCATATGCCGCTAGAGCTCTTCGAGGGAGCCAAGTTCCTGATGGCACTGGACAGATATGGTTAGATAACGTCAGATGTACTGGAAATGAGCAAAGTCTAATTAATTGTTCTCATAGTGGATGGGGATATCATAATTGTCGGCATTATCAGGACGCAGGAGTGGAATGTTCTTCAGGTAAAATGATAACATAGTTGTTTCTAACCACTTACCTGAAACTGTAACACTGATTAGTGACGTATAGTGTGACAGGGCCTTAAAACCAAACCGTGCAATGGACACAACGTGTAGTGCAAGAATGCACGGCTGAGCGTGGTGGCCAGAATTTAATGAGGTGTTATATATTGTAAAATAACTGAACCTTTAATATGAGTCAATGCCACACTGAAACTTGTCTCACCTTGTGAAAAGGAAAATTTCATCTCTCAGCAAATGAATGTATTTTTTACTATTGCTCGAATGAAAACATGATTATTTGTTTTTATATCACAGGTCTATGTTATTTAAGTTTTTAAATGCAGAACAAATCTATACCTTAATCACATGTACAATCAAGTCAATCATAGGCTTCAAGCTCAAAATAAAAAAAGATACATTGCACAGGGAAACATACATTATTTTAGTATGCAGTGATAACCAATTTGTGCAGTGATAAAAGTAAAATCTGCAGTGATAAAATGTGAGATATGCAGGGATCAAATTTGTTGTGATAACTTGTTTTTAAAATTTTTAAAAAAATGAGGCAATGAGCAGAAAAACTGACAGTATTAATGAAAACGTTTTAAATGAGAATAATTTGAATGAATTTGAAATGATGAATTATAGATGGAACGTCGACACTAATATTATACTTAAAGTTCATCAGATGAACAAGTCTCTGACCAAAGATCTCTTTGTGAGTGAATGATACTTAACGTTTTGTGATTAGCATATATATAACTTCAGAATTCTGTACAATGTCCAACAAATTGCAGGAAATGCCCTTTTATAGAGCCTAGATTACCAAATTTTGCTTGGTGCATAACCCTGGAACTCCTCTAGAGGTTTGTCACGGCTAAGTCACCTTTCATTTGCCAAAAAAAATTCTTTTTTTGCAAGCATGTTATTATTAAGGTGGCTCCATACACTTTTCATCATCGGGGTACTGGTACCTAATTTTGAGTTTTCGCGCGAAAATATTAAAAATATATGCAAAAATAAATACAACTTTTTCAGTCAAAAATCCGAACCACAAGTCATGTTTATTTTGACGTTTTGAATCTTCCCTATTCTCATTTGTTCTCAAAGAACAAACTTCGTCCTGATTTAGCCCTGAACATTGAATAACTAGTCTTTTTAGAAGACATTTTAGGGTAAAAAATGGAATGTTTAACGTTCAAACTCTTGTGAAAACCGGCGATCGGCCCGACCGGCGAAAAGTTTTTTACTGCAATATTTGGCGATTTATCAGTTCATATCCAGAGTTTTTTGTACTTACAACTGGTAAATGAATTCAAAGTGTTACTAACAGCAAAGAAATTCAGTGAAACAGCATCATGCGCCGGCTCAAACTGTTTTAAATTGTCAACAACAACATGAAAACACACAAGTTACGACTGAAAACGAATATAAAACTATGTAGAGAAGCCAAAAAGTTCATACATGTCACACATATCTTATACCAAACGACACAATCACCTGTTTTCTTGGCGTTATCCCGAGTTAGCATGCAAAACTAAATATATTTGGATTTCTAAGCAAGAAAACTCAACATATATTTGATATTTCGACGAGACTAAAAACTTTTTTGTGCGTGTTTTTCTGGAGATGGGCCTGCGAAAACATGTACGCGCATGTCAATTCATTGATCTTGCAGAGCTCGAAGAACTTTCGGCCGAGCGATTGAGATATCACAATAAAACGGCGTAATTCAAAATTTTGCACGGTGACATGTGATGAAATTTTGCACAACGATAACTTCTTTTAAATCAAAATTTAAAAAAAAAATCTGTTCATTGGAAAACTCTAAATCCGCAATTTTTTATTCTGGATATTCTAATCTGCAGAATTTTTTTATTTTCAGGGATAAGATTCCGCATTAAAAGTGAAAGCTATACAGCAGTTAAAAATGGGGTGTCACCTGCAATATTCGGAAAATAAATAATAAAACCCTGCTTAAAATAGCAAAAAATACCATATTTGGCGAGACTACTGTTACCATGGAAACAATATTATGTTCAAGAATATTGCAAATTTTTTCTATCAAATACTTAATTTATACTCGGGAATGCTTAAAATTAATAGATGAAGTGATAAAATTTATAAATTGAAATTTTTACGCAATAAGGTATTTATACTACGGAACTGTATGGAGCCACCTTAAACTATGCTGTTATTGACTGTCGGTCCTGTCAAGGCCGCCCACACTGAAGGATGCAATTTTCCCCTAGGGCCACAGTTAAAGGTAGTCCAAAATAAAGAATTACCGTGAAATATACCTAAGTATAACTGTCAACTAGATTTCCAGAGTGCAGGATTTATCCATCTCTGGCACCT